GGAAAAGGGAGCTGAAGGGGAAATCTCCAGCCTTGAGAGTTGAAAAGTTGAAACATCATGTCTGTGGCCAGACATAAGTAGATAAATTTGCAAACCTAAGTCTTACCAACTTTGTTTCCACTGCAGTTCACTTAACCACTCTAAGCTCTTATATTTATTCATATGTAGACTTTGAAAATAGATAAAGAACACCAAAACATTAACATTATGTTGGCTATCAAGTCAATTCTTAACACATACGATGTATTATTATTTCTGTTCAACTGTGCAAACAAGGATTCCAAATAAAATATTTACTAAAATAACATCTTGCTACGGCTATACTACTTTACAAAGTTTACTTTGACCCTTTGTGGATTATAATATATATTACATAAATTTTTATTATTGCAATTAAGATGTCAGCCTTTATTTATTTCCTATTAAAAATGTTAATCATAGAAGTACTAAATTATGATTAAGTAATTCATTCTAAGTGCCAAAGATTCTCTGCTTTGATCTGTTGCTGTATGTTTGCCATAAACAAGACATTTAACATTTGATCCTAAGTGCTTTCCATTGTGACAAGAGAAACTATATATTCTTTAAGGATTTCAACATGGAAAATATGAAGTCCTCTGAATGTCTTACACATCACTAATTTTAAAAAATATTTATGTTTAAATTATTTACAATCTCTGGAATTTTAAGAAAGAATTAACAACATATTCAAATAATTTAATATGGATATAGTCTCTAAGGAGAGAACAGAATGAGGCATAAATAATTCTAACACAGCTCTAAAAATAAGATGATCCTTCTTTTCTTGAGCAGAAATGTAGGCCTCATGTTGAGAGGGCATAATATATTTTACACCTCCAGATATCTTGAAAAAAAGACTTTATATTTTTTATTCATATTGACTTTTACTAGCTCTTATTCAATCTTTAGCCAAGTACTTTTAAAGTATAATATTTACCCATTTCCATATTTTAATGAGCATTCAACAAAACCACAGTTTCTGTTTTAAGAGGTTAGGTTAGTATATAGCTGAGGAGGATCAACTTACAATGAAAGACAAGATATAGACAAGTTACAATCTATGGATTTTGAGAGAGTGAAAAAGAGCTCTGAGCAATTGCAACTCTAGGAATTAAAGAAATGTGGCCATAGTTTACATTCCCACTAGCAGTGAAGAAGCGTTCCATCAGCCACAGAGAAGGACAGACATAGGGACTTTGCAGCAACTTGGATGAATTTAGAGTCGATCATACTCAGTGATCTATCACAGAAACAAAGAACAGAGTACCATATGTTTTCACCCATAAGCAGACCTTGAACAATTATTATAATACTATAAGAAAGGGATTGGCAAACTGGGAATCCCTAGCGGGAAACTGTCAGGGAAGAAGGGGTGGGATTGGCTGTTGAGGGAAACTGCTAGGGGAGGGAAGGGCATACCTCATCCAAAGGGTACCTGCATAATCAACATTTGTATACTTAACCCTGAATTGTACACCCCATCTTTATAATAAAAAAATAAACAAACAAATAAATAAATAGAAATGCGGCATGAGGCATATAGGAGGTCAAGACCCTAAAAAATGTAGGACTATGTCATGAAAGAGGAAACAAGGTAAGTGGTATAAGCAGGGCATATAGCAACAACAAAGTTATAATGTGTAGTTAAGCTTGGGGTCTTTGACACTAGTGAGATAACGACTTAAATTCCAGTCAGGTATTGTTGGGTAATGAGAGGTTACAGCAAGATTATAAATGCCCCTTAATGCAACATAGAAGAATTTTAGCTTTATATACAGTGAATAAGTATCAAGTAATTTTGAGAAAAATTATATATTGTACCACTGATATTATAGAAATATACATACACTGGCATGGAGTATAAGGAATTCCAATGGAGGGTGGAAAACAAAGTCAGAAAGAAATACTGTCACAGTCAACATTCGGTTTAACTATAAAAGACAGTATGACAGATTGAATTACTGCATCGGTCAATCTGTGATTACTATAAGAACTTCTTTAAAAAATAAATTCCTTAAATTCTTTTTATTTTTATTATTAGCATTGCTACAAATTTTTTTTTTTTTTTTTTTGAGTTTGGAGTCTCACTTTGTCGCCCAGACTGGAGTGCAGTGGCCACTCCCGGCCACCGCAGCCTCGACCTGCTGGGCTCTGGCGATCCTTCTGCCACAGCCTTCCGAGTCGCCGGAACTACAGGTGCGCACTACCATGCCGGCTAATTTTTTGATTTATTGTAGAGATGAGGTCTTGCCTGCCCAGGTGGGTCTCGAACCTGGGGCTCAGGCAATCCACTCACCTCAGCCTCCCAAAGGTGCGGGATTACAGGCTGAGCCACCGAGTCTGGCTAGCATTGGTACAAATTATTCCCATGTGTAAAATTGGTTTCTGGGTTACAAATGCAGTGAAAATAAAAGAACCTTACTTTCCTTTTTTTTTTTTTTTTTTTTTTTTTGAGTTGGAGTCTCACTCTATCGCCCAGGCTGGAGTGCAGCGGCCGCTCCCGGCCACCGCAGCCTCGACCTGCTGGGCTCCGGCGATCCTTCCGCCTCAGCCTTCCGAGTAGCCGGAATTACAGGCGTGCGCCACCACGCCCGGCTGATTTTTTGATTTATTGTAGAGATGAGGTCTCGCTGCCCAGGCGGGTCTCGAACCCGCGGGCTCAGACAATCCACTCACCTCAGCCTCCCAAAGGCGTGAGATTACAGGCTGAGCCACCGAGCCCGGCTTTTTTTTTTTTTTTTTAATCAAGGCACTCTTTTTTAAATTATAAAGATGTGGAGTACAATTCAGGGTTAGGTATACAAACGTTGATTATGCAGGTACCCTTGTTGATGAGGTGTGTCCTGGACTGGATGTCTTTCCAGCAGAATTCTACAAAACATACAAGGAAGAGCTGATACCAATCCTATTGAAAATATTCCAGGAAATTGGGAAAGATGGAATTCTCTCCAAATCATTTTATGAAGTTAGCATCACACTGATACCCAAACTGGGTAAAGATTCAACAAAAAGAGATAACTAAAGTCCAATATCCCTTATGAACATAAATGTAAAAATCCTTAACAAGATTCTAGCTAATTGAATCCAAAAAATACATCTCAAAAATCATCCACCATGACCAAGTAGGCTTTATCGCCAGGATGTAGGGTTGGTTCAACATTAACAAGACCATAAATGTAATTAAATACATCAACAGATGTAAAAACAAGAACCACATGATTATATCATCAGATGCAGAAAAAGTTTTTGATAAAATCCAGTATCTCTTCTTGATAAAAAAAAAACCCTCAAACACCTAGGTATAGAAGGAACATACCTCAAAATAGTAAGTGCCATCTATGATAAACCCACAGCTAACATACTGATAAATGGAAAGAAACTGGAAACATTTCCCCTAAAAACTGGAACAAGACAAGGCTGCCTACTCTCACCCCTCTTGTTCAACATTGTGTTGGCAGTCCTAGCTCGGGCAATTAGACTAGAGAAGGAATTCCGGGGCATCCAAATAGGAAAAGTAGAAGTCAAGTTATTCCTCTTTGCTGATGATATGATCCTATACCTTGAAAATCCAAGAGACTCTGTCAAAAACCTGCTTGTACTGATAAAGGACTTGGACAAGTCTCAGGATACAAAATAAATGTGGAAAAGAACCTTACTTTCTATAGATATAATAGATATACATACACATATTAAAAATATATATAAGGTTGGTCCCTTGTAATACAGATTTCCTCTGCTAGATGAGTGTTCTAGGAACCCATTGGCATCAGTGTACCAGCTAGTGTTGTGAGAGGCTGCATTCGACTTCAGTGATTTTTTCTGCAGATTTTTTCAATGCCTTTGTCCATTTCATAATGGGTGATTTACAGCACACCTGCCCACACCACATTGCGTGTTCAGCAGTTTTTGACCAAAAATGGCCTGACTCCCCATGCTTCACCCTTCCTATTCACCCAATCCAATCCCCGAGGGACTTTTGGTGTGTGTGTTTCCCAGGGTGAAAAAAGTCCTCAAAGGGAAACATTTTATCAATGTGAAAAAGGAGAAACAAAAAAACGCAAAAGCACTAAAAGGTAGCAAAACTGACATGTTCAAAAGCTGTTTAGAGCAGTGGAAAAAGCATCTCAATAGGTGTATTGCATTAAACAGTACTTTGAAGGTGACTGAGCAATTGCAACTCTAAACATGTAAGAATAAATACACAATTTTTCATAACTAAATTCTGGGTTTTTTTTGAGTTCCCCCTTGTATTCCAAAAGGTTATTTTCTTCTGAATCTTGAGAACATAATATCACAATATTTATAAAATATGAGGAAAATAGGTTCTTTTGTAATGTCTCTGATTATCTAATGCCAAGACTGCTCATGTGGAGAAAGTTTAGCTAAACATGAGGACCCTCCTAATACCAAGCACAGGTTATCTGAGAGTTCTGAACAAGTCTATTAGGGTGAAGAATAATAAAATGAAAAATACTGTATATTTTGGGTAATCTGAGGGTCAGTCTCATCACCATCATGCCCTTTTCCTGAGCAGAGTTTTGTTCCTTCTTGCATCAGGTACCACTGTACTCAGCTGAAGAATATGGGAAGATACATTCCTACTTTTTCATAAATCTGTGAACATTATAAACTTGTAAATGAAAAAAACATTGTCACAATGATTTTAGTTTTCTAGATAATTACTTATTTTCATACAAACTTTGAATAACATTGTTAAAGTACTAGGAAATATGTTGGAGGTGAAATCAGAAAATGTTTTTCATAAAAGTTCTATGATGATATGTTTATTTGAAGCACTCTGAACAAGGAGATGAACTTCACTTCATAATAAAAAAACAAAACCAGCTAAGGTACAGAGGGAAGAAACAAAACCTGTCCTTGCCCTTAATAAAGTGTACACAGAGACCAAACAAGTCTAAGCAAAACAAAACAAAAACAAATAAAGCCAGAAAAGAACAATGACAAAAGTTGGAACTTACCCATATTTTGCAAAATTCGCCCAGCGTTTCATTATGGATCTACTCAAAATTTCCTCAGCTTTTGTGTAATTAACTCTTCTTTCCAGAGGCAAACCAAAGATAAATTCTATTTCGTAGCCATGCATCACTCCCATCCATTCTGGCCAAGGAAGTCTGGAGGATCGGTGTTCAAAATAGTAGAAAAAGACACTATTTCCCCATTCTGAGAACTTTTTGGCAAACTCCAGGGCAGGGCATATAAAATTGTAATCCCCCACAACATCATCCAAGGCCTCACGGTAGCTTTCAGGTCTCTGATCATCTATCCAGTCTGTGTAATGAAAAAGAATTGATTCCTTCCCAAATTCGCTCACTCCTGGAAAAAATATTTTTAAACCTTCTCGAAATTCATTTCTAGTTATGATACTGTTGTTATCTTTGCTGAACCCAGGAGCACCATATACTAAAAAAGCTGCCCCTTCATCTTTGTTAACACCCACCAAGATCTGGGTTTTTTTGAATTGTCCTAGCTGGAGCAGTATGTTCGGCATGTCAGTGAGAAAATCGCCATCTACGACTGGACCAAAATTGACAGACAAGAGAGTACCATAAGGGACAACTAACACTTCATTCAGAAGAATTTCTTGGGGATCTTTATTTCGAAGGCATTTGATTAACTCAGTCTCATTCTCTCTAGAGCAACCAATAAATGCAGCTAAGGTCATCGTTCTGTTCCTAGCTTCATCAAGAGATGTCACTGCCCAAGGTGCATTAGAAGATCCACTCTGCAGAATGGCTCTAGTGAATGATGGCTGGCTTCGAGGAGAAAGCAAATGAAAGCTAACTGAAGCTGCTCCAGCACTTTCTCCAAAGAGAGTGACACTTTTAGGATTTCCACCAAAGGCTGCTATATTTTTTTGGACCCACTGAAGTGCCAACTGTTGATCAAATAAACCCATGTTCCCTGGTGCTTCGGGATTTCCTGGTAGAGCTAAGAATCCTAGGGCACCAACTCTATAGTTCATTGAAACTACAATAACTCTTTCAACCCGAGCCAGAAACTTGCCATCGTAGACATGTAAAGATGATGTTCCAGTTTGAAAACCACCACCATAAATCCATACCATCACGGTGGCATTTTTTGGTTTAGGAGCTGGAAGCCACACATTTAGGTATAAACAGTTTTCACTGAGCTCAGTGTTTGGATTCCACATCTCTGACCCATGGAAGCCTGGGAAATTTTGATCTATGTTCTGATAGCAAGAATTTGGGTATTTTGTGGCATTCCAAATATCAGACCACTTGGTCAGGGGCTGTGGCTTTTTAAATCGAAGTCGACCAAGAGGGGGTTGTGCGTAGGGAATTCCAAGGAAGGCTGTTACAGTGCCACCAAGAACCGGCAAACTCATGCCTCTGACCTTTCCATTCTTGGTTGTAATTATGATGTCATCTTCCATGTGTGACTTTCCAATAAGCATGCAGAGCCAAAGAAACCACAAGAGAAATCTGATGCATTGGACCGTGACCTTGCTATGCATATTGATTTCTGAAAAAGAGATAAGTGGGAAGTTTTATCAGCCTCATGTATATAGTGTCATACTTTATAGAAGTCAATTAACTAAAATATATCCCAGTCCTAGGACATTCATGTTTTGGATCAGCCTCATTTACCAATGCTCACAGTACAGCTAGTGACCTACAAGTGGTTTTGATCTCAATAAATATCTGAATAAATTGTCCGTAGTGTAAAGCATTTTGTTTAGCATTTGTTTTGCAATTTGTAGTTAATATTAATCCTAAAAATTATGAATACAAATAAACTTTCTACCACTATAAAGGCCCATATAGAAAAAAAAAAAATAGTTGGAAATATTTCAGTTTTCAATTTAGAAAAGAAATAAGTAGAATGGATTGTAGAAAATATTTCACTTTGAGGATATTTATTATGAAATCACTGTAAGAGCTAGTATTTTAAAGAGAAAATTTGTCCTAGTCATGCATAATACTAATTCTGACTATATATACAGCTCCACTAAAAGAAAGAGGAAGTGGTAGTCTACTTATATCAGATAGAATTTATACATTGGTTACAGCAGAAAATACACCCCTGTGTTGTCTCTGAACTATCATGGCTGGCTGCCTCTTGACAAAACTGAGAAATAGTTTAAGAACTTTTAAGCATCTATAGATGACCATCATTATTCTTTTCTTTTCCATTGTTCCAGTGGTCCCTTTTACTGAGTGAAAACCATTCTCTAAACAACCCTAGTGTATAGTCTCAAAAGAGAATTTACATAAGTTATTCATAGAATGTTAAATAACAAAAAATAGTAATTACTACTTATGCTGCAAATTTTGAAAACTAAAAAGCATGCTACCAATAGAAAGACCTTTAAAAAAATAAAAAAGCAAAGGCTAGGAATGTATATCAGGCAATTTTCTAAAATTTAGTAATCAAGAGAGTCATCTCTACCCACATTACGATATCAATGGCAAGAACCAATTGCTGGTGTTATAATGTGTGAGAGATGATAGAAGCTTAAATACAATTTTGCCATCAGAGATTATTCGACACACACCTGTTGCCACAGTTAATTGATTAAACTATAAGCAACTAGTGAAGTTACCTACGTTAGCATAGACAGAGCTACTCATATTTTGTATTTTGATAGTGGACAAAATGACTGCATCATAGGATAAAAAATGGAAATTACTGGGAATGGGGGAAGCAAAACTAATCTGTAACCTACAAAATCATAAGTAATTGACATTTATTAAATAATATTTATTTGATGGCATAAAAAGATCATTTGGAGAGATTCAAGTTCCATAAAAAATTCTTGAGTTTCTTTTAAATGTTAACACAGATTATGAAACACCATGTGACAAAGAACAAAAAAGTGTAATGCAAATATTATTAAAAAGAACTAACATCTTTATATAACATCAGGAAACTCAATTAGAGTAGTTAATTATAAATACTGATTCTCATCCATATAATAATAACAAAGGTACATGGATACACAGTCTTTCTTGTATTATTTTTTCTGGTGCTGTAACTGTAAATCTAACTTACACAAACAAGAAACTAATCCTATGGGCATCATACATTTTATATTAGGTTTTTTGTTTGTTTAATTGAGATTGCCACAGAAGGCTGAGAATAAGAGAGCATTCTGTTAACTATGTCCCAGATCTAGAATATTCACATTTTAAATCAGCCTCATTCACCAATGCTCCTAGGAAGCCTAGTGACCAAGTAGCTTTTGATTCCAATAAATATTGTAATAAATTAATCCATGGTGTAAAGCATTTTGTTCAGGGCTTGATACTTAATGAACATATCTATATCTGTGTCTATACCTAATTTTATCACTATGCATATGTGATGCACATATATTTTTACATAAAATGCTTGCCATAATAATAAAATTATCTTAAAATCAAGTCACAAGACTATTTTATGTTCTCTGTTGTATGTGTACTAAGAGCAATAAAATATAATATTGGTGTGTATAATATTGTAGTAGTGTTTCTATACTTATGATATGTTTCTATACTTATGATATAAGCATTATTATAACCATAATCAATATAATTTGTTATGTAGTCATGTACTGCTTAACAATGGGAATATGTTCTAAAAAATGCATAGTTAGATGATTTCATTAGGTGCACACACCACAGAGTTTACTTATGCAAATCTAGATGGTGAAGGCTACTTACTACACACCACACCTAGGCTCTGTGGTCTAGCCCCTTGCTCTTGGGCTACAAATCTGTACCACATGTAACTGTACTGAATACCATTGGCAATGTAACACAAATGTAAGTATTATGTATCTAAACATAGAAAGGTACCATAAAAATGCACGGTACCTTTTTTTTTTAAGCAGAATTTATTTATTTATTTATTTACTTATTTAATTTTTTTTTTTTTTTTGAGTTGGAGTCTCACTCAGTCGCCCAGACTGGAGTGCAGTGGCTGCTCCTGGCCACCGCAGCCTCGACCTGCTGGGCTCCGGCGATCCTTCCGCCTCAGCCTTCCGAGTAGCTGGAATTACAGGCATGCGCTACCACGCCCGGCTGATTTTTTGATTTATTGTAGAGATGAGGTCTCGCTGCCCAGGCGGGTCACGAACCCGCGGGCTCAGGCAATCCACTCACCTCAGCCTCCCAAAGGCGCGGGATTACAGACTGAGCCACAGAGCCCGGCTAGCAGAATTTATTGAGAGGACAGAAAAGCTCCCACAGTGGGAAGGGACCCAAAGGGGTGCTCAAAAATGCATGTAATTTTATAGAACTGCCATCTTTGACTGAAATGACATTATGTAGTGTATGACTATATTATAAATGATAATGTGTAATTAATTAATAAATAAAATATAACAACCATTTACAAGTTCCTCTAACCTGACACTTACTAATGAAATTTTATATTTCTGACAGAATAGAAGTTTTAAAGGCATTGCTACAACAGTAATTAAGGTTTTTTTCCCTGATAATTACTATACTTAAGCCTTCTTTTCTTAAATAAATAAAAATGAACATTTGGAGAAGAACCAAGTGCTTATATATATATATATATATGGAAACCAAAAAATCCAGAATTATCTTTTTTTTTTTTTTTTGAGTTGGAGTCTCACTCTCTTGCCCAGACTGGAGTGCAGTGGCCGCTCCCGGTCACCTCAGCCTCGACCTGCTGGGCTCTGGCGATCCTTCCACCTCAGCCTTCCAAGTAGCCGGAATTACAAGCATGTGCTACCATGCCTGGCTGATTTTTTGATTTACTGTAGAGATGAGGTCTCGCTGCCCAGGCGGGTCTCGAACCCACGGGCTCAGGCAATCCACTCACCTCAGCCTCCCAAAGGCGCGAGATTACAGGCTGAGCCACTGAGCCCGGCTCAGAATTATCTTTTGAGAGGGTAGACCCCTTTTAGTACAGGCTTTCTGCACTAAGTAAGTGTTCTAGCAGCCCAACGGCATCAGTGTACCAGTCAACGTTGTTGGGAAAGGATGAGTTCAGCTTCAGAGAAGTTTTTTTGGAGACTCTTTAAATACATTTGCCCATTTCGTGAAGAGTCATTTAAGAAGGCAACTGTCCACACAGAGTGTTCAGCAGTTTTTGACCAAAAATGGCATGACCTCTGTGTCCCACCCTCCCTGTTTACCTGATTTTGCCCTGTGATACTATTTTTTGGTTTCCCTAGATGAAAAAAGGCCTCAAAGGGAAATGTTTTGCTGCTGTGGAGGAGGTGAAACAAAAAATGGCAGAAGCACTAAAAGAAATTAAAATGGACGAATTCAAAAACTGTTTTGAGCAGTGAAAAAAAACAGCTTAGAGAATACTTTAAAGGTGACTGAAGTTTAAACATGTAAGAAAAATTCTCAAAAATGATATTTGCTCTTTTTATTTGAAAGTTATATTTTTAAAAGCTTAAAGTTTTTCACGAATTGATGTCCTGGAGCATTTAATAAACTTGGAATGCTATAGTACTCATTATCTTTCAAGTTTTCCCTCCCACGGTGATCATTCATTTCCTTTACAATTCCAAACAAAAACTCCTGCCTTTCTTTCAAATATCAAAACACTGTCTTAAAAAGTTCCTTGACCTAAATTCAAATACATAGTTGTACTTGGTTTGAAAATTTGTCCCATTCTTTATAATAATCATATTATGCATTCTCATAGTCTATATTATTAATATTAGTATTAAATATGAATATCAAAATGAAGACAAAATATGAAATTAGTATTAAAATTCCCCAGCCAATTTTAAGAAGAAACATGCAATATTATACTATAAGATATGGGTGTGATTAAATAATTTACATATTTTATATGAAAAGTTATTTATTTGCTGTTTGTAATAGTTAAATACCAACAAAATTGTCAAAATAATGGACTAGCCAGGAATTTCTTTGTTAAGCAAATATTCATAATAGTTTTTCCTGTTTTAAAAAAAGTTATGATAAAATGTTTATTTCTATTTGAAAATAAAACCCATATAAATGGTGGAGAAAGAATCATCCAGATAATATTAATATGATCTAGAACAAAAGCTACTAAATGCATTTGGTCAAATAAAAGCAACTAAGTTTTTATACCAGTTCTGAAAAGCTTGTTTTGCCACAGGCTAAAGGAAGTGGAGAATTGAGGAAGTCTGTTTATAGACTAAACCACTGTCTTTCAAAGATCCTTCAGAAACTCATTAGGCGCTATGAGGATGTGCATAGAAGGAGACACTGCATTAGCTATGTGAAGCTTAAGAGCTGTGTCTATCCTCAGTCAGGAAGAACATCCACAAACTTTTCACTATGTGAATGATTTGAACATTTAATTATTAAGTGAGATTTTTTTGGTCTTCTTTAAGAGTTTCATTTGCTCTTCGGTTGATATCTATTTAATTACAATTCTATAACATCTGGGACAGTCTAATTTTGGTAAGAATGAGCAGATTTAGTAGGAAACCATCAAAATGAAGACAATGTATAACTTGAGTATGTATTGTTAATGGTTACCAGGAAATGATTAAAGCAGAAACTAAATTAATAGATAAGATGGAGCTTGTTAAGATAGTATTAGCTTATATTTTATAAAAATGAAACACAGAGTAGGTCCCAAACTTATTTTAATAATTAATGTAGCATGACATTTCAAACAAACAACAATAACAAAAACCCAGAGGAAAAAAGCGGAATTCTGGAAATCCAATACCAAATTTTATTTGACATCTAAAAGGCCATGTTATTTTATATCCAGGGGGAATTCTAAAGATTTTCATTTAACTTGTAAAGTCAAACTAGAAACTCATGCTTATCCTTAGACAAAGTGACAACTTATATAAGTAAACTGTGTTGTATTTAGCATAACTTTGAGGTAGTTTATATTAAGGAAGGCATACAAGGACTAGTGATATTTACTGCTAATTGAATTTATTATCATGAAATATATTTATAAAAATGTAGAAGTCAGCCGGGCTCGGTGGCTCAGCCTGTAATCCCGCGCCTTTGGGAGGCTGAGGTGAGTGGATTGTCTGAGCCTGCTGG